TCAGGGGTCTGAAAATAAAAATGAGACACGTTTAGTTCAGTTTACTAGAAATTAGAAAACAGCTCATATAATTATATTTATTAGTAAACTAGAAAAGATCTAATTGATTTGACTAAATACCTTCTAATCTAATCTGATCTGATCCAATCTAATCTGATTTGACTAAATACCTTTCTTGACGTTTTACAGAGTGGCTGTGGCTGTAATGTGACCTCAAAAATGTGTGTCTTATGTGTCTTGCTAAACAAAGTAAATAGCTGAAATCACAGGACAAAATATTTGTGCTTTCCAGTCCACAGAATAATGAGAATTTACAATGGACTGTTTAGTACTGAGGAAGCTTTCCACAAAAAAAAAGAAAAATAAAAATGTAAAAAATCTGCTTAATTAAACTGAAAGATGAACTATGTCTGCAATAAAAACCATTTCCTCTGGTACATGCATATTGGCCAACATTTCTCATGTCAACAAACTACTGATGGCGGTTGAGCAACACTGTGTGCGGAGTCGGGCAGCGCTGTTGACAGATGCTGCGAGACGAGTTGTGATTGGTCCGCCGCGGTGGGTGTTTCCACATTCCGCGCGGAGCTGTCAGCAAGGAGCGCGAGTTGGAGAGGGCACTGTCGCGTCTGCGAAGGGACCTCTTCAGTCACTCCCAGGGGAATAAAGGACCGACGCCAAGGAGCAGGGATGCCTTACATGCTCATCAGTACGCAGATCCGACTGGTGTGTATCTCGCCTCTGTGAAATTCTCGTGTCATGCTTTTAGGAGGGCGCGTTCGGGTTGCAGTGTCAAGGATTTATTTATTTGGCTGCACCACATTGCGCACAATAGTAATCAATCAAGGCTGCACATTCTAGATATGCAGTGGCCTGTAATATTCTGCATGCTGGGAAAAAAACAAACAAACAGTGAAGGCTGCAAACGGAGCAAACAGCGCATGTATGGTTGTGTGTGTGTGTTTTTTTTCTTGCCATGGTGCACTAAATTAAAAACACATGTTGCCCAGTTGTTGGCCCCTTGTGCACGTTGTTGTCTGTGCGACTCCAGCAACCTAATTCTATAGCCTCTGAGTATTGGATCATCTATTTTTAGTCTGTCCAGATATTAGAGATTATGATCCGCACCTGCCAGAGGGCTGCAGGTGTAGCTACTGATATGCTGCCAGAGCCGCGCAAATAACAGGCAACCTCTGCTGTTAGAACAAAGCAACAATTTCTCAATAAATCTAAAGCAAAAGTATAAGCTGCATAGCTAATGCACTTGATTGCTGTGTTTCAGGAGAACGGTCCAACAAATGTGGGAGATGAATTTTCTGATCCGGCAGTCATGAATTACCTGGGAGCAAGAAAAACAACCATGCTGGGAAACAATTTGTAAGTACTGAAAATGGCAAGGGTCACCTATTATGATGAGTAATAAAAATAAATGTCATATTTTGGCCCAACCTGAAAATACACATTTGTAAGCCTACTGCAGGCATGAATCCATGAAAGCACCACAGCTGTAATGTCCCTCACAGGATGGAGAATTTCTATCCTGGTTTTTTTGTCATTAAACTATCACCACCATTATCTCACAAACAGGGAAGACTAAACTGTAATGACACTGTTCCAATGTGGAGTTCCTCACACGTGCAGAATCATTTCCCAGATGAACTGTAAATGTACTCACACTGGGCCATATTTCCATATTTAGGCACTTAAAACTGGTGTTTCTTTCATTTTGGCACTTAACATGTACATATTGAAGACAGAGCTGAAATCAAGTCACATGCACGCAAAAAAAGGAAAAAAAAAAAAAACTCCAGTGTGGTTGCGGAAGGCTGCTGCTTTGCAGATTTAGAATAAACCATTCAAGGTGATGGAATACAGATCAGGGAAGTGTTGTCATTGGCAATCTGATTCAAATGCTGCTGGGAAATGAACCAAGGTGTGGAAGGAAGTGAACAAGCACTCTAACAATTAACGGCATTCTACTTTCCAAGCAAAGTTTACTGAAAGACAGAGAAATCCCACATCTGTGGAAAGCACAATTACTTTGTGTTTATGCTCATTTTAGCTCTGAATACCATGTGGACGACCCCCCTCGCCTGGTGCTCGACAAGCTCGAGAAGATTGGCTTCCGCGTGCTGACGATGACGGGCGTGGGACAGACGCTGGTGTGGTGTCTGCACAAGGAGACGGAGTGAGCGATCACCAAGCGACTGCTGACTGTAGCAGAATACCTCTATAAGCCTTAAAAAGGACGAATGAATCGTGCTCAAAAGCTTTGTCACCTGTTTTTACCCAGGGTTTTATTTGTTATTTACTTTGCCTGCTCTTCTAGCTTTAAAATCAGCTCTTTGTGGAAGTGAAAGCAATGTTTTAAAGTTGAGATTATCCCTGACATAAGGTTTCAGATTACCTGCAGAGGGTCGTAGGTTACCAATTTCAAGGCAAAAACCACATTCCAGAGCTTTTGTAAGTTGTTGCTGTTTACTACTGATGACCAAGAGTAGGAAGTGAAGTAGTTTAAATGTACCATATTATATATTATATAGCCTCAACCAGCTGTCCTGCACTTCCAAGCAAACTACACTATGCTTGATAGGCTTGTACATAAATCAATGTGTAAAGATGCTTTTTTTTATCGTGTGATTATGATTAAATGATGTAATGATCTGGAATAATTGCATCCTTTTTAATTGAAGATAATAACACATGCATATAATTGTCTGGTAATCCACTGAACACACTTACAGAATATCAAATATCACTCTCTTATTGTGTGCCCACTTAGTTCAATGGCACCTTACAAGGATGCTACATGCTTCAAGATGAGGCTCTAGAATTGCAAACACACAGAGAGCAGGAGTCTGCCTGCGAGAGCCAAAAAACACTGGGTGGTTTCATTACAGCCCCGGGTCTGCCAGCACATGTCTGGGGCCAGCCCGGATCACTAACCCGCAAACCAGAAACTTTGCCAGCAAGCTCACAGCCAAACTCTTACCAGACCTGCTGCCTCACACATGACTTAGCTTCCACCTCCGCACTCGAGATCAAAAGGTGCTGGTGCTTCCCAGTTCTATGACCTCAGAGAGTCCAGATACTGTTTGCGTACGCCGACGTGACGGCTGCGATTCGTGCAATGTGAGAAAAATAGGGAAGAAGATGCCGTGAAGCTTCCAAGGCTGCAGCAACAGGGCCATCCTTCTATCCGGGTTTGCATGCAGCACAAGCCACTGTGGGCTTAGGGCAGGCTTGGTGGTGAATGTGTTTCCTGTAATTGTATTTCCTCTGTTGTCATTTGGACAGAGTTTGTGTGTTTCTGGGGCTTTTTTTTCACATTGCTGGGATATTGAAAAAGGCTACGCATAAACAAAACCATGTGATGAGGGGATTTTGCAGGAGGAGAGGAGCAGATGTCTCCCACCACACCGCTCTGCTCTACAGCTGGACATTGTGTAACAGAGCCACGGTGAGGCAGCGCAGGAGTGGCAGGGAGATGGATGACTGGATTGGATGTTGCAAAGCTGCCATGTGGCTCCTAAATAACACAATGACAGGGAGAAAGCGCTGCCATACAGATCTGCAAATACAGAGACACGCCATTACGCCACAGTCCCCCAAGCGACAGGAAAAACAGTCTATTTGGATGGATGGATGTTCCACAGGCAGAGGAGCTTGTTACAAAACTCGTGTTGACCGCAACAGTCTGGCACTGCAGAGTCTGACTTAATGTGGGTCACAGAGCGGTAGCGTGTCACTTCAGAGAACATAAATAAGCAATACAGAGTCGACAGAATCTTCTAGATATCTGTTACATAAGCCTATTGTGAAACAGCTTCGAACAACAAAAGCTGAAGTTTTACAAAATTTATTGAGGTCAGTATCAGAACAGAAGACAGATTTCAAAGCGAGTGGCACGGTGTTTGATTTGAGCGGGACCGTGGCCTGTGACATGATCCATCAGAGCTTAGGGTGGAGGAAAGAGTATGAAATGGAAACACTGAGGTGGGTACGCTGTCCCAAAACAAGCACACCCACTGCTACACAATCTTCACTTTACTCTGTAATATAAAAAAAAAAGATGGATGTTCATGCACTGCTTGGTGGAGCACTGACCACAAGGTATTAGTCTTTCAGAAATAATGACTCCTAAAATACGAGCCTTTCAGTTGGTAATTGAAGTAATAGCTTTTGCACAGAAGAAAAAACATTTTCTTTCTTGCTCAGGCTTAGATCAGAATGATTAAAGTTTTGTGTCAGTGTGTTCAGTTTTAATTCCGAGCCAGATGATGTTGAATGGGAGGTTAGACTATTTCTTGGCCGGGAGCAATGACTTCGTACAGACTCCCCTGGTTGCCTGGCAACCTCACGATGACACGACTCCAGAAAGTCGCCTCTCCGTGCCGAGAAACAGCATCCAACCCCCTGTCGAACTACAACGACACAAAGTATAGAAATGTGTTTGTTTCTTTAAAATGATTATGAAGCCCCTGTGNTTTTGGATGAACTAAGCCCACTTCAAGTCAAAATAAGTCACATTTAACAAAAAGAATAATTATTCTGTCTGTGTAAAGCATCCAGAGTTGTCAGCTACATTCAGAAGTGATAATTAGTCCCCATTGTTGTTGTCAAATGTACTAAGCACTACACAGAAAAGAACACGGAATGCAAACGAGCAAACCGGGTTTCATCGCTGATGCATTTAAGCCCTCTGAAAATTTTCCTCTGTTTGTTATGCATCATGTTGTTTCCTTTTACTAATAGTCCAATCAGTGCCATTTGTGGTACTCCATAGAGACGAGCTCCTAACACACAACCGAGGTCTAAATTGAGGTGACGAGAGAAAAGACGCAGTGTGTTAGAAAACGTCGTTCCAAGTATCTGATGGCATTATTCTTAATCACCGTGAGAAAGTCTCCCTAAACAATCCTCCTTTCCAGTGTGCACAACCGCTGAAACCGCATCCTGGTGTTTCTCAACAAAACGTTAACCTGGTGACAGCACTTGAAATGTTTCATAGCGATTCGTACAGCTATGATGTGTTGTGTAATTCCTAAACCCAGCTGTATCATCTATCAGTGAGCGCAGCATGACAAAGTAGGAGGCGAGGTGAGGTAAGGTGAAAAGAGAGGAGGAGGAAAGGAGAATTGAACCTTGCTAAGGCTGCTGGGTAATATTTCTGCAGCTTGGAGACACTTTATGTAAGCTGCAGGGTGTAATCTGGAAAACAGCAAAGAAAAGGAGGTCAGCGTTGTATCTCCTTGCAGAAGAGGGATCGCGAGGCTCCTCGGAGGGAAACCAGACGGCACAGGCAGACATACACAAGTATAAATTCACAAGTATATAAGTCTAAAGGAGAAAATGCATGGCTCTACAATGCAGTGATTCATCACAATTAAACGCATGTAAACCTATATGGTGTGCAGCCTTAACACCCAATCTATCAAGAGAGCTGCCTGTTGTCTCTGCTCTCCCACAGTTTAGCTCTCTGGGCTGAATATCGGACCATCACTCCAACATACACCTACAGTAAATCATCAGATACACACACCGCCTGCTGCGTAATTCATTGCTATTCAGTTCCCACTCGGTGATTTAAAACGATTGCTTTAGCAGTCCAACCTTTCAGTGCAGGTCTTCACCCACGCATATTCACAGCAAGTAAATCCGTCAAACACATTTATCATAGAAATCCTGATGTTGTGTGTGGGATGTCTGACGCACAGGGAATTAGACGTTACAAGACGTAGAGTTTATTTTTTTAAGGATGATTGTTTCTGTTACAAATGGCACATGTTAAATAGGCTGCCACGCATGGAATAAACTTAAATCAGGGGGAGTTTTGCTTTTCATAGCACAAAATTACTTGTGTTTGTAATGTTACACCGTCAGCTCTGCTTACTGTTAACAAGAGTTCTAGCTGGTGCTGCAGTAAAATAACTTGTGCTTTAACAATATATCATTAATAAACAGGAACTCTGCGGTTTTGTGGGAGATAATTTATCCATTTTCAAGGGTAGAGTTAGATTATATTTACTTTTCTGAGCAAAACACGCATTCACAAGTTGAACTCTGCCTTTTTTTTTTTTCCTTTTTTCTTTTATGATACTGCTCTTGTGTTCCCACATCAGGCTATCACACTTTAGCTGAGAGGGTGAAGGCAAAGGCCTCATCAAAAGATCAAACTTCTTCCTGCGGACCCACCAGGGATGTGCTCCACTGTCACCACAGGTCACAGAAGACGTGACCCTGGACTCTAATAACCAGCAGCAGATGAGCCAGCGCAGGAAGACGCTGCAGGAGCGCAGGAAGTGGCTCCGATAGAAACATGCTTGGAGAGACTGTTCCTTTCAGGCAAGAGGCAGGGGGGTCTCTGGTTTGTTTTCGGGGCCTCGGCGACAACCCTGCTGCCTTTCCTGTTTTCTTTTTAGCAGTGGGTCTCCGGCTAACAGGGAGAGATAAAACAAGAGAAAAGACGCATTCCACCGGAGCGCCCATTTCTCCTTTCACACCACAAATGATTCAGACGGAAACGCTTAGTCATCTGACGGACTACTGAATGCGAAAACACTTAATTTGTCAATCAACATTAGGGGAACGCATTCCGACAACATTAATTACTTTAAGAGAGACAAGTGACAGGAGTGACGGGATCGAATGGAGGCCACTGTGAATGCTGAAGCCGGCCCACTTGGTGCTTAAACTTCACCCTGACGTCCTCGTCCTCTTCATCCTTGTCGGTGGGGAAATGCCGCCACCACTTGCTGTCACACAGACTGGCTGCATCGTTCAAGTGGCCTCCATGTGAGACGGTGCCTATAAAAAGTATTCACCCTCCTTCGAAGCTTTTCTCTTTCATTGCTTTTCAACATTTAATCATGGTCGATTTAATTTGGCTTTTTTGGTGATGGTTTCCAAAAAACAGACTCCTTCATGTCAAAGTGAAAACAGACTTCTACAAAGTAATGCCAGTTAATTAAAAAAATAAAACAAGTGATTGCATAAGTATTCGCCCCCTTTAAAGTAACTC